GCCCCGCAGCCAAGGCCCGGGCCTCCCGGTGGCGTGCACACGCTCGCCGTTGCCGCGGCTCGCAATGAGGTCATCCCTTTGTGGGCCGGCCTTCCGTTTTCGGGGCGCTCGGTGTCGCGTATCCCTTAGATAAAGCTCCGGAAGGGCCGCTAGAACGCAGTTGGGCCCCGTAGTGCTTCTGTGGACGGACTGCGGGGTTGAGACTCGCGCGGTGTCCTCTGCAGATGCCGGAGGAGACCCAGACCCAAGACCAGCCGATGGAGGAGGAGGAGGTTGAGACGTTTGCCTTCCAGGCAGAGATTGCCCAGTTGATGTCATTGATCATCAATACTTTCTACTCGAATAAGGAGATCTTCCTGAGGGAGCTCATTTCAAATTCGTCGGATGTAAGTCTCATTACCGTAGAGTTGTGTTTTCGTTTCAGTATAATTTCGGTATCTAGGAGCTCTGCTCAACGATCTGTATGTTTTGACAGGCTCTGGACAAAATCAGATACGAAAGCTTGACAGATCCCAGTAAGTTAGACTCCGGGACAGAGTTGCACATTAATCTCATTCCAAACAAACAAGACCGGACCCTCACCATTGTAGACACTGGAATTGGAATGACCAAAGCCGATTTGATCAATAATCTTGGTACCATCGCCAAGTCTGGGACCAAAGCGTTCATGGAAGCTTTGCAGGCCGGTGCCGACATCTCCATGATTGGCCAGTTTGGTGTCGGGTTTTATTCTGCCTATTTGGTTGCTGAAAAAGTGACGGTGATCACCAAACATAATGACGACGAGCAGTATGCCTGGGAATCTTCTGCAGGAGGGTCCTTCACAGTGAGGACTGATACAGGTAGGCACCTGAGGAAATATACTGCTTGTCGGTCGTGCGGAGGTGGGGTGCTCTGAGCCCTGGACCTCTGAAGAGGCTGTGAGTCATTGGCGTGATGTGCAGAGAGCTAGTGAGCACGTGTAGTGCCCTGGGGTGGCATTCGTGGGTATCGTGGATGAGGCAGCTAATTAGAAGTGACAGTATTTGCTTTCAGTCTGGTTCAGAAAGCATTAGGCATGGCGTCAAGAGCTCGGGATTGTAGTTTTTTTTACCTTGATTTGACTGTTGTGTTTGAACTTGAATTTATTTCTCTACTCTCTTTTCAGGGGAACCTATGGGTCGTGGGACAAAGGTGATCTTGCATCTGAAAGAAGACCAAACGGAGTACCTGGAGGAGAGGAGGATAAAGGAGATCGTGAAGAAGCACTCCCAGTTTATCGGCTACCCCATCACGCTCTTCGTGAGTGTGTGTGAGTGTGTGTGTGTGTGTGTGTAGTACGCAGGCATAGGTGACCGAAGAGAGTTAGAATCCTTAGTTTTCAAGACCTTTTGATAAGGGAGAGGCCTAAACTTAGTAGTTATTGGACCAGCCTGAAGTTTTTTCTTGTTCTGTCAAGGGATCCAGGGCTGTAGTTACATTAAATATGTCAAATATCGGTGAGATTTCTGGCTGCTGAACGATTGAGCTAACATGGGGTTTGTTACGAAGCGTGCCCGTTGCATCGAGCTGGGCGGTGACGTGCCTTCCTGTCTTCCCGCAGGTGGAGAAGGAGCGCGACAAGGAAGTCAGTGATGACGAGGCTGAAGAAAAGGAGGACAAAGAGGAAGAGAAAGACAAAGAGGAAAAGGAGTCCGAGGACAAGCCGGAAATAGAAGATGTCGGCTCTGACGAGGAGGAGGAGGAGAAGAAGGACGGCGACAAGAAGAAGAAGAAGAAGATCAAGGAGAAGTACATGGACCAGGAGGAGCTGAACAAGACGAAGCCCATCTGGACCAGAAACCCCGACGACATCACCAACGAGGAGTACGGGGAATTCTACAAGAGCCTGACCAACGACTGGGAGGACCACCTGGCCGTGAAGGCGAGTGACTGCTGAGCGCCTCCCAACCCCGCCCCGGCCTGTGCTCCCTCCCCCCGATGTGTTTTTAAGTTACGTGATTGCACGTGTTTATCCCGTAACTGACTTAGGATGTGTTTTTTTGCAGCATTTTTCAGTGGAGGGACAGTTGGAGTTCAGAGCTCTTCTTTTCGTTCCGAGGCGCGCTCCCTTTGACCTGTTCGAGAACAGAAAGAAGAAGAACAACATCAAGCTGTACGTCCGCAGAGTGTTCATCATGGACAACTGCGAGGAGCTGATACCCGAGTATCTGAGTGAGTGGGCACTGCCGCTGGAGCGCGCGCTCGGCTCCAGGTCGAGTCACGTGCGCATGGGTGGTTGGTGTTTTAGGTTTGCACATTTGTTGAATTTCGTTCTTAGAGCGCATTTGGTTTTTTGGGTTTTTTTTAGATTTCATCAGAGGTGTGGTGGACTCTGAGGATCTCCCTCTAAATATTTCTCGGGAGATGTTACAACAAAGCAAGATTTTGAAAGTTATCAGGAAGAACTTGGTCAAGAAATGCTTGGAGCTCTTCACCGAGCTGGCAGAAGACAAGGAAAACTACAAAAAGTTCTACGAGCAGTTCTCGAAAAACATGAAGGTGGGTGTGAGCGCACTGGGCAGTTCTCGAAAAACATGAAGGGTGGGTGTGAGCGCACTGGACCATTAGCAATTAAAGTGGCTTCTGAGTTTTAAATCATTTTGTTCAATGTAGAAAGTCTTTCTAAAGCCAGTGTCTTTCAGCTGGGAATACATGAAGATTCGCAGAACAGGAAGAAGCTCTCGGAGCTGTTACGATACTACACCTCTGCTTCAGGCGATGAGATGGTTTCCCTCAAGGACTACTGCACGAGGATGAAGGAGAACCAGAAGCACATCTACTACATCACAGGTAACGGGCGATAGGGGCTGGAATCTGCATACTTGTTCTCATAACCTTAGAAGTAACTATAGCTGTGTCCTCTGCCTACGCGGCGCTGCCTGTGCACGTTGGTCCGTGTCTGTCAGGCGAGAGTTAACGTGAGCCGTCTATACTGTTCAGATCTGGCTAGGAAAAGGCCTAAAAGTAACTTTTCAATGTCAGGTGAGACCAAGGACCAGGTAGCTAACTCGGCCTTCGTGGAGCGCCTGCGCAAGCACGGCCTGGAGGTGATCTACATGATCGAGCCTATCGACGAGTACTGTGTCCAGCAGCTGAAGGAGTTTGAGGGCAAGACGTTAGTGTCAGTCACCAAAGAGGGCCTGGAGCTTCCAGAAGACGAAGAAGAGAAGAAGAAACAGGAAGAGAAAAAAACAAAGTTTGAGAACCTCTGCAAAATCATGAAGGACATCTTGGAGAAAAAAGTAGAAAAGGTGTGTATGTTCTAGCTGTGTTTTCTTAATTGACACATTTTAGGAGCAGCGTTAGGTGCTTTTCAAAGCTGAGTCATGTGGTCCATTTCCCTTTGTAAGTTTTCTCAGCTTAAAAATAGAAAACGGTCTTCCATGCAGTGATGGGTGGTGGCATAGTAGTTCTTAACACCTTTAAAGGCCTGTGGGGGTGGAATGTGCAGAGAGCGAGCTTTAGAGACCTGAATTTGCAAATACGTGATATTTGATGCATCAGTAAAGCCATTACAGGTACTGAGGAATTAGAATAACAATCTTCTTAGGCCCAGTCATCATTTAATGTTTGATTGCAGGTGGTGGTGTCAAACCGATTGGTGACATCCCCGTGCTGCATTGTCACAAGCACATATGGCTGGACAGCAAACATGGAAAGAATCATGAAAGCTCAAGCTCTGAGAGACAACTCCACCATGGGTTACATGGCAGCAAAGAAACATCTGGAGGTAAACCCCGACCACTCGATCATCGAGACCTTGAGGCAGAAGGCAGAGGCTGACAAGAACGACAAGTCTGTGAAGGACCTGGTCATCCTGCTCTACGAAACGGCGCTCCTGTCGTCCGGCTTCAGTCTGGAGGACCCCCAGACCCACGCGAACAGGATCTACAGGATGATCAAACTGGGTCTCGGTAAGTGGACTCGGGCTCACAGCTGTTGAAAAGGGGTAACTTTCCGCTGTTGGAACAAAATTGGATTCTCATTCAGGTTCGGGGAGCACGCGTGCTAGTCGTTACATGCGGAAGGGATAACTGCGTCTCGTGATCAGCTCAGAAATGAAACCGGTTTATATAGCTTCTGATCGCTCCGCTTTGAAAGTGGTTACAAGCCAGGGGTGTCAGTCTAAGCGGGTGGTCGGTGGTTTCAAGAACTCTGAACACGTGGGTTTTATGTCCGAAACAGGTATTGACGAGGACGACCCCGCTGCCGACGACAGCAGCGCTGCCGTCACCGAAGAGATGCCGCCCCTGGAGGGGGACGACGACACGTCGCGCATGGAAGAAGTAGACTGAGCGCCGGAGCCGCCGTGCTCACCGGGACACTTGACCTTGGTTTCCTTTGATGACATGTTTTCGAGGATTTTTTTTATTTTTGTTAACATTTTAAAACCCTGTATGGCATGACAACTACTTAAAGGACAGATAAGATTTCTTTCTTACGTGTACGATGCTGTGATCCCTTACGCACTAAGCTAGTTCCCCTTCCTGGTTTCACGTTGGCTCATTTTAACGGAGGGGGTTATGTTCGGGGGGTGTGCGCTCACGTTAACTCTGTGGACCTACAATATCTAGCTGTCAAGCGGATTCCTTATTAGACCAAACCTTTTGTCACTGACGTGTGCTAAAATATACCGTGATGTTTAAAAGAAAAACAGTGCTTAAAACGTTCATCTGCTAGGATCTTTTTAAACCTTCCATTCCCTGTAGTTATCCACTGCATGTATGGTCTCTAGAAGTTAGTATGTCACACTGAACCAGCCTGAGGGGAGTGTCCCTAGAGCTTGTTTTCCAAAGAACAGTACTGTTTAGCAAAAATATAAGCCCACCCAGGCGTATTGTAAAGCCCTTTGAAAGTCAGTAGAGCAGGCTTTGTGAACGAAATGGTAGTGTTCAAGTCACATTCTGCTTCAAAAGGTTATTACAAATACAGATGAATTAAAAAGCTTACGTGGCCGATGTCTTCTGTGGGGGTACGGAGGGGGACTGTGGAGGACAGGGTGGTCCCAAGAGGTAAAGCATTACTATACGTGTCTTGCCCAGGAGAAAAATTTAAAAGGTGGGTCGTAATGACTGCTGTAAGTCCATGGGGACACTCGGGTGGCAAGTGTGGGTGGTGAGTGTATTCTAGACACAAAGAAATGGGACTGTCAGACCAATGCTCCCAGTCTGTCCTCCCTCAGGGTCTCCGTGTCCAAGCTGCCCTCATGCATTTGTAAAACACGCTAAATATAGTCCCTTAATGCCTTGGCCTCTGAATGTCCCGGGGTTCTTTACCAAATCTGCTTAACTGCCCCTCCCCCACAATCTTGCTTCCTGTGGGGCCTCAGGCCAGGTGCACACGAGGGGTTTGCTGATGACCAGGATCCTGGGGCAGTAGTTCTTAGTCCCTTAGGCAAAGGAAGGGGAATCACTTAAATTGAGTTAGACTTTTAACCGTTTAACTGCTCAGCTGTGGTCTTCCTGCCATTCTGCTTATGACGTGTTACCAGCTGGAGAAAGGGGGGTAGACATGACGGAACTAGGTATTGGATGGCAAGAAAGGCAAGAGGGGATGTTCCACGTTCCCCACGTTCAAATAAAAAGCAGGCGTTGATGGGATTCAAACAGGACCTCTGGGAATGACGTCCCAGTGGAATTAACCTCTCTGATGGGGGGAGAGTGGCAAATAACCAAGTGTTTAACTGTCAGACTCAGGAGTAACCCCTGGGCTGGAGATGGGCCCCCAGAAGGTGGAAGCCCAGCGCAGCAGGTGAGAAGTCAGACGACACACAATGCTAGCACTTATCCACCGCAGATGACACCCAGTGCTGGCACTTACCCACCGCAGACACCACCAGGGAGCCCCTCGCCTGCTTCAGAACCCGCTGTGGCTTTGCACCCTTCGTAACTGCGTCCTGCCAAAAAGAGTAATGAGCACTAAAAAAGCAGAGAAATATGGACAGAAAAGATCAACTTCGCTAACGTGGCTGTCCTTGTAGACAACCAGCATGGAAGGAATCTACAAACAGCATGAGAACAGGTGAATTTAGCAAAGTCTGAGGATGGATCAATATACAAAAACCAATTTACGTTCGCAACAATCATTAAATCTAAAAATTTACAATAGCACAGTCTTACAAAAGGCTTTGCAAGACACAACTAAACACTGCTGAAGTATCTAGGTATCGCAAGGCTCAACATCGTTAAGATGTGGATTCTCCTCAGAAGCATTATGCTAAGTGAAAAAAAGCCAGACACGGAAAAGCTACACATTACACGATTTCATTTTCATAAAATTTTAGAAAAGGCAACACAACAGAAAGCGGAGAAGTGGGCCACCCGGGGGTGGGGGTCATGGTGGGATTGACTGCAGAGGGGAAGGGGGACGACTGCACGGCGTGGATGTTTATTAAAATCCATCGGGCTTAAAATGAGCGATGTGAACGGTGTCACACCTAAATAGCAAAGCAAAGCAAAGCACAGCTGTAGGGGGCGCCTCATTTGTAAGTCGGAGATCCTGCCGTACGTAGAGAGCCGTCCTGCCTTTCCCAGGGCGAGTGGGCTTAGGTGCCGGCGTTTAACGAGTCCTCAAAAACTGACAGCTGTCCCCTCCAAAGATTTCACCTGCTAGGTGGTACCTTTCCCCCTGTGTCCTGCGAGGTCACCTTAGTCTCACTTCTCCCACCAATACTGCTATCCTGCACTGTGACCTCCTGCAAAGCCCCAGTCTAAGCCTCACCGCCTCCAGGAAGTTTTCCTGGACTACGTCTGCCCAAACCATCTCTCGGTCCTCTGAACTTTTGGCGATTCCCACCAGGCATGTATGCGTCAAGTTTTTATTGAACGCCCACTAAGAACCAGCCCAGTACGGTTTGGTGGGTCACATTCAGAAACAGTGTCACTGAGGAAGGCCAGCAGAGCGAGAGCGGAGCTAAGCGATGGTGGCCACAATCAAGGTGGTAAAGTCCCCCTCTGAGGCATGAAGACAGACCAAGCAGGTGGGCAGGGTTTGGGGAAGCTGCTAGCAAGGGGTGACTCTTGACATGGAGTGGGGAGCCTCCCCAGGATAGGACAAGGGAGAGAGCTTCACCAGGCTGGAGAGCCCAGACGGTTCTGCCTTGGGAAGGGTCCCATGGACGGTCTGAGTGACGAGACAAAGCCGGGGGGTAGAAATCAGTAACTGGGCACCGTGAACGTTAGCAGTGAGCCACGGCCTCAGGCCTGGACCCAAGGCCACTCGCCACTCCCCTGGTGGGGAGGCCCATGCCCGAGCCCGTGGCCTCTTCAAAATGGTGGGGTCAAGGTGAATTGGTCACTCCACCATCACGTTCCGTGAAAACCTCCTGATCATCCTGCTCGGTGGCCCCTTACTCCATTCCAGCCCACCCCTTCTCACCTGATGGGGGACAGCACAGGGCCACCTGGACCACAGGAGGCCCACTGGAGGGCGCAGGCCCAGGCCTCCATCCTGCACCTCGGCCTGGGGTTCGGGCGCTGGGACTGACATCGGAGGCTCGGCTGTGTCCCCAGAGGCGGGGCTTTCGGAAAAGCCCATGGGACCGGGCCTGCGCTGCGGGAATGCAGACACGTGGTCTGCTTCGTTCACTTATGTGTCCCAAATGCTTATAACATGTCTGGCACGTGGAAGGCTCTCAAATATTTGCGAATGAATTCGCCTAAGCACTTCGGTTCACAAACACTTTAACTTATAGTCTCTAATTTCTTCTCCTTTTTTAACTTTCGTTTCGGAGATCTCCAAAACCTGGTTCGCCTCCCGTCCAGCCTGAGGTGGGGGGGCCCCCCCGGAGCACAGTCGGCAGAAGCTCCTCCCCGGAGGCCCGAGCGCACCTGGCCTCCTCAGCCGGGCCCGCCCTCCGTTCCTAAATGGACATGACAGACAAGTTCCCGTTGTAAGCGTATGGCTCAGTGGCATCGACAGCAGCCATCACCTCTGTTCCCAGAACTTTGTCATTTCCAAACAGAAACCTACCCGTTAAGCAATAACGGGCCCTGGGTGGTCTCGGGCCCCCGGGGGCGGGTTGAACCCTCTATCCGGCCTCGGTTTACGTCACTTTCTTCAGAAAAGCCCTGCCAGCCTCTCCTCACGCGAGGCCTCTCCCTTTCTCGGTGGTATTTCTCACAGCTGTCCTGCCACGTTTCCACGTCTCGTTGGTGGCTTGTCACCCTGCCTCGCTGCTGCCTGTGTGCCCGTGAAGGAGGGAGGGTGGCGTTCGCTCACCGAAAGCCTGGTGCACCTGGTACAGATGTGTGGCTTTGAATACCTGGTATCTAGAACTGACATTTTCCCCCTTCCCGTGGCGATGGCCGTTTGTTTAAATCATTCCGTATAATGGAGGAAGCTGTGGTCCCTTTTCTAAGCCTTACGGATCTGGAAGTGTGATTACAGATTTCTATGGGAAGGGACATCGCGTCTCCCCCCTGGGAGGAATATCCAGGAGGTGGGGCTTTTAGTGAGTCACGGCATATTAATAGCACCATCGAAATCTGAACAAAGATTCCGTGATGCCAGGCCGAGCCAGCTGCCAAGTGTACGTCTGCTCGGAACACACATCATCTTATGACAGTACCTTAAGTCCTCGATACTTAAGCAATGAATGTTCTAGAGCTGGAAGTGTGGTCCAAAAAGCAGCACTGTTGTTTTTTTAAATTCCGGATTTAATAAAAAAAAAAAAAACCCTAACAAATCAGAATGAAAAAGAATTGATAACTTGTCTACCCACTTTTAACAAAGTCGAGTGGATGGAAGCACATCCCACGCAGCCTCCCTCCTCCCCTCCCCCAGGCTTTCTGAACCACCTTCCGATTTCACCCCATCATTTCAAACGTAAGTACTTCATCGGTGCCTTCACACCTCTTTGTGACTCGGACATACTCAGGGTACTTGGGACTATGCTTAAATGAACAACAGCTAAAGCCGAGACAGGATGTTCATTCTTGACACTTCTATGCAGCACTGTCCTGGAGCTTCGAGCCAAGATGCTTAGCGGAGATAAAAGGAAGGCATTCTGATTGGACAGCAAGGGGTAAAAGGCATCTCTATTTATAGGTGACATGATCTTATATAGGAAATCGTAAGGAACACACACACACACACACACACACACACACACACACACACACACCCTCTATCAGAACAAGTTCAGTGTGGTTTCAGGGTACAAGATCAATACTCAAAAATCAATCGAATTTCTATACACTAACAATGAACAAGCCAAAATAATATTAAGAAAAACAGTTCTATTTTTACAACGGCATCGAAAAATACTTAGAAATAAATTTAACAAAAGAAATGCAGGGCTCACTCTAAAAACTGCAAAACATCGTCACGAAAATTAAAGAAGTCCTAATAAGTGAGAAGCCCCCAGGCTCGTGCCCCGGAAGGTGTGGTACTGTTAAGACGGCAATACTCCCAAACTGACCTACGGATTAGACGTGACCGACCGACGTCCCAGCGGGCATTTTTTTTTCTTCAGAGATTGACGAGCTATTTCTAAAATTCACACGGAAATGCAAGGGACCCAGCAGAGCCAAACAATCTTGAAAAAGGAAAAAGGATCTACACTTCCTGCCTTAACAAATTACTAAAACCGATAAGTGACGGAGCAGCTAACACTAATCTGTGGCATCTTTAATTCCCCGGTTCATTTCCTCATTTATTTAAAATAGATTTTTGAGCAGCTACTGTGCCGGGCACCGCAGGGCAGCTGCAGCTTGAGGATCCCTGGGCTCCGAGGAGGACAGTCCAGCGAGCCACGTAGAACGACAGGCAGCTAAGTGGCCGGGCGGCCGGTCCC